GGAGCTGCCCGCATTACTACGAGACCGGACAACTCAAAATTAATTCCTATTAAAAAATTATATAAAAAAGGCTAAAAATTATCCACTAGAAGACGTAGGCTAAAATATAAATAATTGTAATTTGTTTTTTTTTAATTTGAAAAATTCATATTAAGAGTCAACATTGGCTGCTATTGCTCCTTATCTACAAAATTTAAACTCAACTTCTATGATCATTTTAAAAACATTTTGAACGTGTGGGGATGTTCTTGTTTAGTTTTAAAATAAATCAGTTAAATTAAATAATTTTTTAAATAAAAATTCTCATAAAGTCCAAATATTCAATAATATGGTTAAAATTATTACAATAATATTGATAAATTAGAAAAATAGGTATTGTTTCTTTACTCGTGTGGGAATTGTTTCTTCATTCCTTCCATTTTTCACATGAAAAATGGACGTTTCTTGTTAAGTGATAGCTTAAGATGTTATATACTCCACCTTACCTTATTCTCTATGTCTTAAAATTTATTCTCTAAGTCAACCCGTGAATGTAACTAGTCACAATCACGAGTAAAGAAAAAAAATCTAAAGGAAGATGATGAAGATTTGAATTTATCCACAAAATAAAAGAAGAAATTCATGATTTGACTCAACCATTCAATTTGGCTCGAGGAAAATAAGGGAATGAAAAATGAACATTTAAAACGAGGATAAAAACTGGGATATTTTAGAGAGGTCATTCTCAATCTCAATCCTAATCTCAATATGACAGTTCCCAAACAATTATTCACCAGACCTGACAAAAAGCATCTCAATATAATAAAACTACAAGTTTATAGCCACCCAACAATCAAATATACCTAAATACACATCAGAGGCCTTTGATTTTGAGATGGCAGGCGGTGGCATGGACTTCAAGCTATTTTGTTCGATGCTGTTCTTTGGGGTAGCCTTGTGGCGGCCGTCGGCAGCGGAGCACGGAGGAGATGGCTCGGACCTCCACTCACTGACTCAGAAGCTGATGGGTTTGGCAAGGGAAGGGGAGTTCATGGAGTGGATAAAAGGAGTTAGAAGGAGAATCCATGAGTATCCAGAGCTGGGATTTGAAGAGTACAGAACGAGTCAACTCGTGAGGTCTGAGCTTGACTCGCTTGGTATCAGTTACCAGTGGCCTGTTGCAAAGACTGGAGTGGTGGCTTCCATTACAGGGGCTTCTCTTTCTTCTTCCACACCTGTTTTTGCTCTAAGAGCAGACATGGATGCGCTTCCTCTTCAGGTACTCCCCCCCCCCCCCCCCCCTCTCTCTCTATATATATGTAGAGAGAGAGATTCAACCTTGCTAATTGTTGTTTTCTATAGAGATGATCTTGCAAGGGAGTGCAAAATCTGAGTACAACTGATGAACAGTTTCAGATTCTCCAAGCTTAATATAAAGTTTATTCTCTTCATAATTTTGAAGGAATTGGTAGAATGGGAATTCAAAAGCAAGGTCAAAGGTAAAATGCATGCCTGTGGTCATGATTCACATGTTGCTATGCTATTAGGAGCAGCAAGGTTGCTACGGAGTAAGAGACTGAAACTTAAGGTAAAAATTTTCAGCCTTATAATTGTAAATCCTGTTTTTTTTCTCTTTTAACCAGGGAAGGAACTGACCAGGATTGTTTGTATATGATGTTGTTTGAAGGGAACCGTGAAGCTAGTTTTCCAGCCAGGAGAAGAGTGTAATGGAGCTTATCAGATGCTACAAGAAGATGCCCTTGATAACATAGATGGAATCTTTGCATTGCACGTCTTGCCTTCCTTACCAACTGGTGTCATAGCCTCCAGGCCGGGTCCAGTATGTGCTGGAGCAGGGCATTTTTCAGCCTTAATCCGAGGAAAGGGTGGACATGCAGCAGCCCCACATAAGACGAAGGACCCAGTTTTGGCAACAGCCTTCATAATTCAGGCTCTTCAACAGATCGTATCTCGTGAGACAGATCCTCTTGAGGCTGGGGTAAGTTTCACGCCCTCTAAGTCTAAGTCCCTAATCTTATCAATTTGTTAAGACCACAAGAATGAGATAACTTTTCAACAAGATTCAATACTTCAGTCCAAACAACTCAAAATTGTTAGAATCTTAAAAGTTAGGTTACTACCCGGAGAGATAAGAGGGTTTAGGGTTGTACCGCCTAGAGGTCATATAGATCGGAACCTGGAGAGATAAGAACGAAAGCCCTACCCACTGCTACACCTACTGGTACTTCAAAAGGCTTAGATTCTACGCCATTGAAAGCCTTTTTTTAGGTCGGGGGTGTAAGCCCCGAAAGCCTTTAGTACTTCGGTAGGTATATCTCGATATATCATTTTTAAAAAACAAAAGGTTTGGAACCCTTCCCCTATTTCTGCATTTCATTCTCAATTTGACCCACCTCAAATAAAATGAGAAAAAAAGGAGAGAGAGGTCTATTGATTCGAAGTCACTACGAAAGGGTTGGTCAATAGCATAGCTCTTTATTTCCCAGGTCTCCTTTGAAAGGGGAAAGACCTTCGCATTCCTAATCCGGAGGCTGTTCACTCATTAAACTGAAGGAAACTTGAAAACAGATCATAGCTAACTAATAATCAGCAATGTAGGTGGTAACGGTTGCATTTGTTGACGGAGGGCAAGCAGAAAATGTAGTTCCTGAAACCGTGAAAGTTGGAGGAACTTTTAGGAGCTTGTCCCCTGAGGGTCTCTCTTACCTCAAGGAAAGGATCAGAGAGGTACGGCCTGTTTTTTAATTGATCAACTTAACAAATTTCCATATTTTTTAAGTGGACAAATCTTAATTTCTACTCAACAGGTCATCAACAAACAAGCAATAGTGCACCATTGTTATGCTTCAGTGGAGTTTATGGAGGATACACCAGTAATGGTTAACAATGAAGCATTGTTTGAACATGCAAATAGAGTAGGAAATAGCTTACTTGGAGAATCCAATGTCCAACTCCTTCCATGGACCATGGGAGCTGAAGACTTCGGTTTCTTCTCACAGAGGATTGCAGCTACCATATATGGCATTGGGATAAGGAATGAGACTCTGGGATCAAGCCGGCCGTTGCACTCACCGCACTTTGTCCTTGATGAGGAGGCTCTTCCCATAGGAGCAGCTCTTCATGCTGCTGTGGCCATGTCTTACTTGGAACACAATTCAGTTTTCAGTGATTAATTTCAATTTCAATCCTGTAACCAAAACAGTATTTGAGAAATAAAACATGGCAAAGTGAGGATGCACATATTTCCCAAATTAATACCAGCATCTTAATGATATTGTTAGTCTAAATGAATCAAGATGTTAACCAGCTGGTGCAGTAAAATTGCAGACAGTGTATACACACTAAACCAAACTGCGACGGGGTATTTTTCAGAGCCCTCTTTCATTCATCTGGTTCCGCACAACAGACACATCCAGCCACCTTTCTGCTGCAGAATAGATATTGGATAATAGCACATAATTGCCTGCATTTTGAGGCTCCAGCTCAATAAGTTGATAAGCTACCAATCGGAATATAATTTACAGGCCGCAAGCGGCGTGTCACAATCGCCCTTTGACAAGCATGACCGTGAAACTGTGCACCCCATGCACCAACATGAGATTGAACAAGCACGGATTTTATGAGCTCGTAAGCTGCTCACAGTCTCCCAGATGGACTAAGAAGATCAACTATACATTGCATAGTGATTAGGCGAGGGAATCATGTAGTATTTACGCGTCATGATTTCAAAGAAATGTCAACCTCCATCCACAAGTCCAGCACGGCTACAAGCTGTTAAGATGACTGTTAAGGCTACAACATCGGGAGTTAGATCTTCATCTAACATCCTCTCGAAGAGTGAAACAACCTGAGCTCCACGCCCATGGACTGACAACCCTTACATTACAGAAAACAGGGAATTAGATCCCTTTTAGGCATTTCTTCAAACAGATTCATGGCTCGCTTCATGTTTCCACACTTGGCATTCATATCTTTAAGAGCTGCCTTAACATGAGCCCCCACAAAGATCAACTAAGCACTTGGTAACATATGAATCAACCCACGTGAGAACAAGCTGACATTAAGCTTGCCAATAGAAACTCATCAGATTTCACATTCCTAGAACCCATTTCAAGAAAAGTCTTGACAGCCTCATTTGGCTGACGATTTTGTGTATACCCAGATATCAAAGCCGACAACGCCATAATATCTCTATCAGGTGCCTTTGAAACAAATTCATGGCAGAAAGCATGCCACCGCTTTTGCATACCCACCGATCATTTTTGTGAAAGATACAAGATTATTCACCGGCATTTCATCGAACACCTTCTCAGCAACACTTTAAATCACCCATTTTCATGTAACCACCAACAATTGCATTCCACGACGCCACATTTCTCTCCGGCATCGAATCGAAACTTCTTTGCCTCCCCCAAATTCCCAATGCTCGAATACCCAACAATCATAGCCGTCCATGAAACCGCAATCTTCTCTGATATCAAACATCTTACGTCTCATATAAATCCTCATCAACATCACATCTCAAGATGAATCCATGAAGGGTCATCCCTTCCATCACCTTCCCCTCGGTTGCGCGCGCCTTGAGAAACGAAGGAAATCTTTACGGAAATGATATTTGATAGCTTTTGATTATGCCGGTCAACTGTAAATCAAATAAATAAATAAACATCTTACTTTTTATCAAAAAATTAAATATGAACAAAGTTTAATTTGTAAATTTTGTTTGATCATCATTTTTTAAAGTAAATAATTTTAATATATTATATTTAGTGTGATAAAAAAACAAAAAAAATCTTGAAGTTTGTTTATTTTTATTTTAAAATCAGTCAGGATTTGAAAACAATTAAAATTATAATAAAAAAGATTTAATTTATATTTATTTACCTAATGTACATTGAAATTTTCATTTATTTACAAAATATTTTTTTTAATAAAAGAAAAATCTGTATTCTAACAAATAAGACAAAAAATCTTGAAATTTATTTATCGCTCAAGAACAACCCTTCACTCTGTTTTCTCCTCCGTCTCTTCCCTTTTTTCCATCAATCCTTCACCCAAAATTTTCCCGGAAACATCTCGAACCCATCGCCGTCGCTGTCGCCAAGAGCTTGTGGTTACTCCAATGGAAGATGGGTTTGGGATGAGACTTATCCATTCCACTCTTACGCCGAGAATTGCCCCTTCGCTGATACTGGATTCCGGTGCGCCCAAAATGGTCGGAATGATGACGGTTACCGAAGCGGTAGCGGCAGACGGACGGCTCCGATATCCCGAGGTATGAGTATGGCTATGAACTTCTTGGTCTTGAATTCTTTTAGAATCCTTTTCAACTCATCTGGGAGTATGAATTTTCAATTCGCCATTGTTTATGTGCGGAAGTACAGCAAATGCTATTAATCCTGGTTATATAATGGAAAAACCTGCTAGGGAAGACAACCTCTCAACCAAAAAGTGTAATCGTATGGGATCTTAACAAAGACGTGGATGAAAATATGGATTTTGTGTCCCAAAACAATCTCAAGAGAGATTCAAATCGTTTAGGAAAATTGATAGCACAATACTTCAGAACACTAAGGTTCGGTTGTTCTCTCACAATCCAAGCATAGTTTAGTAAACCAACTGGATTAATTATTTTCATACAATTGTGAATCTAGATTGAGTTTCGACTCTAGATGTAAACATTTGATCAGATTACTGCGACATGTTAGCTCAAGGATTAATACACCTTCTTTCCTATCGATAAATGGGAAAAGAGAAAGTAACATCCATTTTTGTTTCAGAGGTTACTATTTCCAAGAAGAGGAGAGATTGAATATGGATGTAATGGAAGCATTTCGTGGGTCGCTACAGACATCGAAGCGTTGGGTGGAGGAACATTTGGATCCAAACTGAACTTGAGTTTTCTTTCGAAGGCATTCTCCTGTTCATTAAGGGTAAATTATAGTCATGTTCATGATGAGCCTAGATGACTGAATTTTGCTGGAGGGAGCAGTCATTTAGAAGTTAACAATGGTTAGTAGCTTTGTTGATCAAGCTTTTTGTGAAGGGGTCACTGGGACACTGACTAGGGGGCAGAAAGAGACTACAAAGCTGGAAGATGAGCCAGAAACAATATTTTCATTTCAAAATGTAATAAAACAAATGGATTCTGTAAAACATAAAGTTCAGGTATTGAATATTACATATCTAACAGAGTTCAGAAAGGATGAACACCCTTCAAAGAATCGTGAGCCCGGTGCGCCAGATGAAGCTCCACAAGATTGTAGTCACTGGTGCCTGCCTGGAATAAACTTGTTTATACTAACCTATTATTGTCAAAAGGATTCAGAAAGTAATGTAAAGTATGTTCAGAAGAAAAATAGCTAACCTCATGTTTAGAACTTTCGTTTCCACAACCCTACAAAATGCAAGATGCTTCACTCAGCTTCTTCTTCAGTGTTTTCATCTGAGTTCACTTCACTGGTTTTCATTTCCTTGACTTTCTCAAGCTGTCTCAATAGATTCAACCTTTCTTGTCCATATGTCGATGGTATCTGTATGGACATTGTTTATTTCACTCTTAATATGAACGAGCATGAAAATAAATTCTATCTATGAATCTGCTAAGCACTATGAAGTCATACCAAGGATGGTACATATCTCTGGATGGCAGCCAGCATAGCTGCATGTCCAACTGCTGTAACCTGAAAATATAAGTGAATAAATCACCAAAAATCAAACCAGACAGGCATACCAACCAAGATAAAGGATCTAAATATGTAGAGCACTGAAACGTACTGGAAGAAGCATCAATACACCAATTGGAACAACAGATGCTAGGTCGGTTAGGGTTCTTCGTAGGGCATTCTTTTCTTTCCCAGTCAACTCATCTCCAATCAGTACCCTCCTAAGCAATCCCATAGCAGCAGCAACATCAATAGCCAAGAGTTGAGTGCCTTGCCATACATCCTGCCAATCAAATACTCCCTCCATCAATGACAATTTCGCATGCAGAGGTCGAGAAACCAATCAATCAAACCAGAACGAGGGGTGTTGAAGGACTTCTTCAAGCAAATAGGCATTCCCCAAAGAGTTGCATGGATGGCGATCCATGCAAACAGGAAGAGAGATGCCAAAAAGGAAGAGATCAAACTAGAGTATCATGAATTTACTAAATGCTATACACACGATAATTGAACCACGTAAAAATGGCTCAACTCAGAGTAAATTTAATTGCTTTCCCACCATAAACCAGTGGCAATCATGAGATTATCAAACTTCAAGTCAAGAGGCCTTATGCCTCGACTGATGATAAAGGACTACGATGAAATGAGTATATTAGAAAGCATATAGTTTAAATGTAAGAAGATTGTACGAACTCATACTGTGCTAGTTTCCTTCAGCTTGTCAATAGATTTTTCAATAATATTGTCTTTCTTCTGAATCTGCAATAGTTGACTATTCTCACGATTACGGAAACTTCTTGCAGCATCATCTGTATCCTTCTGATCCTGGAGAAAGAAAGAAAACTGTGGTTAGTCTGTAAAACAAAATTAATGATAATAATGATAAATAAACAGATCAAATTTAATGAAAGACTAGAGTTCTTTAAGCGTATTACTTGAATGATTATGAAAAAAAAGAAAAAAAAACTAAATGAGTCAATTGACAAGAATCCGACGTACAGAAACAGTGAACTCAACCAACATAAAAAAAAAAACAAACAGTAGCATACTTAATAACGTACCTCATCAGTTTCTGATTCTTCTGAGCTTTTCTGTACCCGTTTTTCAAGTTCTATTAGCTCATTTCGGAGAAGTTCAAAACGATGGAACTCATTCAATTCTGTGTTCATTACATCTATATCAGAAGTGTGACGTCCAATGGCATCCTCCTGCATATGTAAAATGGTACTTCAATAAATCACAACTAAGTATGCAGCTCTGGCCAGAAATTACATGCTTGAAATTCAAGACCTGTATTCCTCAAAGGAAAAAAGACCAATACATTGATCCTTTCAAAGACAACACCTAAAACACCGTCATGTTTTATAGACATCTCTAGGCTAGCGTTTAGATGTCCTTTGATACATGATAATGATGGCTATACGTGGCAAGGGACTTTATTTCCTCATGTCAACTACAATAAGCATCTAATAGAGTTCCATTTTCAAGGCTAGCAAACAAGAACATGGAAGAAGAATTCAGGCCTAATAACAAAGAAAATTTTCACAACAAGAGACCACAAGTTTTTTCAGTTCAGAGAAATAGCAAGCACAATTAGGTCAAAATGGTTATGAAGCAAAGTACAGATTAGCGAAATTCTAGATACAAAATCTTACATATTATGAAGATTAAAGCACAGAATTCCCAACATCATTACAATAGGAAGCTCACACATTCTTGAGAAAATGTAATGTGAACTATATTATTTTTTAGGAACATAAAACTATTTTATATCTGAAATAGCATACTAGGTAGGGAAACCTTTTAAAGCTCTTTGAACACAAAAAGTAAGAAAAAACGAGTTAAGAATGGCTTCTCCCCAAACGTTTTATCCACTCCTACCCCCCAGTCTTGATCTGAACTCTTCTAGTCTATTCCATTTCAAGGGAAATTTGGAAATATAAACCCTCTTTTGTCATAATTTGAGTAAAAAAAAAAAAAAAAACCAGTTAAGTTCTGATGAGGAATCTAGAGGAAGCAAGATTCATATTAAGGAAGTTGGAAAATGAGGCTCCTATCCATTCTTTTAGAGGAAATTGGAAAATCAAATTCCTCTATTTTTTGAACATGGTCCTTGCTGCATTGTCCACAGACAGATGAAACTTTATTGAATTGTTAGTTGCTGCATTATTAGTTTTATGATTGGTACCAGCAGTTCAAACAACTCAGGATGGTTCTGTTTCTTTTTGCAGATTATCGTCAAAAAGAAAATTTCCCAATCAATAATAATCTATACCCTTGAAGGAGCACACCAATTTACACATTTGAACGGCAAAAAGACGTGTGCATACGCACAGACACACCAAATTTGATATACAAATGTTTATGCTTTATGGAACAATAATGACAGTGGATAGAAATCGCAAGAACACATAAAAGCAATTGTGGTTGGATGAATATCAAAAACCTAATGAAATTAGAAAAGACAATATTAAATAAAAGGAGACATACTGATCCATCAATGCCTGACTCAGGATCAGGTTGCCAAGTAGAAGGGACCAAGTTCCATAGCCTACGAGTTCTGCCACAAACAAAATATTTGTTTTCTTTAAATAAGGTAAAAGAAATGGAGAAAGGAACACTCAGTTGCTGATAAAGGGTAAAAAACAAAATATAGTAATTGAAATGAAGCTTCTCAAATACAGGCAGGATGTTCTTGCCTGTTGCTCCTGTTGTTAACTGTCTTAGCCCTCTTTTTATTGTTTCCTTTCAGGTATTCACGTTGGTTGCTACTGGAACGACTTTCATCAGCTTCCTGGATTCAAGTACCGATGTTCAAGAATGATGAGTTGGAAATTATAGAGGTTCTGTTACCATCACTACATGGAGCAGATATGGGCATAACAACAGAGAATAATAAACCCATTAGAGAGACATACATCTTTGATTCCATTCAAACCATATGAAAGAAATTACGTGCTTCCGTGATTTGATGTGAGATCACCATTATGAACTCTTGCAAGCTTAACGGTTGAAATAAGGTTCTAATTCTTGCAGACTATGCTGAATTTGTAAATGACATTCACAAGTTCAACCTGTTACGACATGGACTATTTGTCCCAGTTTATTTTGTACATCCACCAGCCTTAGTTTAACCAAAAGTGAGAGACACGAGAAGGAACACTCACTAAACATATGTTATAATCATGCACATCAGGTTAAAAGGTACTCTACTCATCCTGCAAATAATGCAACTCTCCAATCTTCATATACCTTGTGGACACCAAGATTAGTGGTATATGATTGAGTTCAATATGTTTAGTTTGCTATAAAATAAAAGATTGGATGCAATGGGAAAGAAGACTTGATTATCAAACCTAACTCAGCGAGTTGATGTATGTAGATACAATATAAATTTGTATTTTGTTTTAGCACTCGAGTGCTCTTACTCTTCCATCCAATCAGATGACCTCTAACAAAGACACAATATCTTAAAATGGATCGTCTCCTTCCTTCAATACTCATTTTTTGCATTAATGCAGGATCTTCCATCAAACAATAACTTCACATACTGATCTTCTACCATTAAGTTCAGGAGTGTACCAGAAATCATGAAGATAAATGAAATACCTGCTCAAGAAAAGCTGCTTTTGCTCTGAAAGATGCCTCCAGAAATTCAGCTTCTTTCTTTAGTTTCCTTATTTTCTCAAGGTCAGAACAAGCAGCTTTTAAATGTTCTCTTCCAGAATTTGTACTTGATAGATGCAGTTCTTGAAGCAACTGTTCAAGTCGTTTCAATGCTTCTTCAACACTTTCCAAAGCCTAAATTACCAGAAGATTCGAGTAAAGTCCAAGAACAAAACAGAAAAAACAAACGAAAAATTTATGATAGGCAGATATCATGATTTATGATTCTTCATTTTTTTCCCCCATCAAATACTCTGGCAAAAAAATTCAAAATCAAGAACACTATAATATGTGAAATTGAAGGTCAACCTATCAAAAAATAATATATGAAAATTTTTACAGGAAAAACAAATTGTCATTTGTTCTGTCTAAAAGAGCATATGCATATGCATTGCAAAACAATATTTATATCATTATATACAAAACACGGCATGGAGATTAACTCATGGCAAAAAAGAATGGAATCTTCTGAAAAGACATACCCATATAAATTAGTAATTAAACAAATAATTACATGTTATAACGAATTAAGTTCCCTGCAGTCGATGAAGATTGAAAAACCCTTAGAAGACATCAGAACTTTGAAACTCAAAAATGACAGACAGTCCTAACTCAATAAGGCTAAACTTAGAAGCTTGTAAGGTTTGTCTATGCAGCCCTCCAA